ATGTTCCAGACAGAATCTCCTCTTTGCTGCTTCTCACTCTTTCTTTTTGCCCCACACCCCACCCCTGCAGTAAGTCTTGACTCTTCCTGGGGGGTAGATAACTTATCTCTACTTTTCTGCTTCTCTCCACAACTGACTATAAAATAACTCAACTATAAAATAAGGCTGAAGAGTAGAGAGGGGTCGGAGGTTGGAGGGAGGAGGAGGATTCCCGATGGGCACTGCCATGTTTTCCCGAGTGGAGAGTGGGATGAGAAGAAGAGCATCTCTTTACACACCACGTAAAATACAGGGCTCAACTGCCCAGCTGATGTGGCTCAGTGGAGTGAGCATCGGCCCATAGGCTGAGAGGTCCTGGTTTGATTCCTGGTCAGGGCACATGCCTGGGTTGTGAGCTTCATCCCCAGTAGGGGGCGTGCAGGAGGCAGCTGATCAATGATTAGATGTTTCTTTCTCTCTCCCCCGCCCCCCCTAAAAAAAATCGATAAAAATATACAGAGCTTAACAAGGGTGAATTTCATCGTTACTCATGAACCTCATGAGTCTTACTTGTCTCATCATTAAAATGGAGATCCCCAAGTTTTCTTTAATTGGGTTTGAATATTACATGAGGTAATACATGGATATAAAGTTTCTGGTACGACACCTCGTACTTGAGCAACAAATGGAAACTATGATGGAAAGTTGAAAACTTCAGTCTTTCTACTTTCTTCTAAATACTTCATGTTAGTGTTGATTGGATAGTTTATGTGTTTTTTCTTCCCAACATTTGTCTAACATTTTTTCAAACATTCAACAAAGTTAAAAAGAGATTGCAGTGAATACCTAATGCACTTACTACCTAAATGCTATAATTAACATTTAGTTATACTTATTTTATCACATATCTATTTCTCTGTCCATCTATCAACTTAGCTTGTTTCTGATACTTTTCAAAGTGGGTGGGAGACATCAGTACACTACACCCCAAATAATTTACCATGCATTTAAAAAAGTTCTGACCTAAAGATATATTTTTATTGATTTTAGAGAGAGAGGAAGAGAGAGGGAGAGAAAGAGAGACATCAATAGGTTGCTTCTTATATGCACCTTGACTGGGGATCAAACATGTAACCCGGGTATATGTCCTGACTGGAAATCAGACCCGTGACCCTTCGGTGCATGATATGATACTCCAAACAAGTGAGCCAACTGACCAGGGTTACTAGGCATATATATATTTTTATACTTGAAACCTATATAATCTTATTAGCCAGTGTGTCACCAATAAATTTTATTTTCTATTTTTATTAATTTGTTTTTGTTACAGATGTTTCTCCTTTTCCCCCCATTGACACCCTCCTCCCGATCCCATCCCCCCATCCCAGCATAGTTGTCTATGTCCATTGTCTATGCATACATGCATACAAGTTCTGTGGTTTATCTCCCTCCCTTCTTCTGAGGTTTGTCAGTCTGTACCCTACTTCTATGTCTCTGGGTCTATTTTATTCATCAGCTTGTATTGTTCATTATAGTCCACAAATGAGTGAGATCATGTGATATTTGTCTTTCTCTGACTGGCTTATTTCGCTTAGCATAATACTCTCCAGGTCCCCACATGTTGTCTCAAAGGATAAGAGATCGCTCTTTCTTACAGCTGCAACTATTCCATTGTGTATATGTACCACAGCTTTTTTATCCACTCATCTACTGATGGACACTTGAGCTGTGTCCAGATCTTAGTGATTGTAAATAGTGCTGCTATGAACATAGGGGTGCATATATTCTTTCTGACTGGTGTTTCAGGCTTCTTAGGATATATTCCTAAAAGTGGGATCACTGGGTCAAATGGTAGTTTAATTTTTAATTTTTTGAGGTAAGACCATATTGTTTTACATAGTGACTGTACCAATCTGCATTCCCACCAGCAATGTACTAGAGTCCCCTTTTCTCCACACCCTCGCCAACACTTGTTTGATGATTTGTTGATGGAGCCCATTCTGACAGGTGTGAGGTGATACCTCATTGTTGTTTTAATTTGCATCTCTCTAATGATTAGTGATGTTGAGCATTTTTTCATATGTCTCTTGGCCATTTGTATGTCCTGTTTGGAGAGGTGTCTATTTAGTTCCTCTGCCCATTTTTTAATTGGGTTCTTTGTCTTTGTTTTGTTGAGTTCTATGAGCACTCTATATATTTCAGAAATTAACCCCTTATCTGATGTATCATTGGCAGTTATGTTTTTCCATATAGTGGGTTCCCTTTCCATTTTGGTGATTGTTTCTTTTGCTGTGCAGAAGTTTTGAGTTTGATGTAGTCCCATATGTTCATTTTTTCCTTTGTTTTTGTTGCCTTAGGTGATGTATCAGTGAAAATTCTGCTGCCTATAATGTCTGAAATTTTGTTGCCTACATTTTCTTCTAGGATTTTTATGTATTCATGAGTCACATTTAAGTATTTTATCCATTTTTGTGTATGATGTAAGCTGATGGTCTAGTTTCATTTTTTTGCATGTAGCTGTCTAATTCTTCCAACACCATTTATTAAAGAGGCTGTCTTTACTCTATTGTATGCTCTTGCCTCCTTTGTCAAATATTATGAGCATAATGTCTTGGGTCAATTTCCAAGTTCTCTGTTCTGTTCCATCTATCTATATGTCTGTTCTTGTGTCAGCACCAGGCTGTTTTGATTACAGTGGCTTTGTAGTATAACCTGATATTCAGTATTGTGATCCTTCCTACTTTGTTTTTCTTTTTCAAGATTGCTGTAGCTATTTGGGGTCCTTTTTTGGTTCCATATAAACTTTTGGAGTATTTGGTCTAGTTCTGTAAAATATGTCATTGGTATTTTTATGGAGATTGCACTGAATCTATAGATTGCTTTGGGCAGGATGGACACTTTAATGATGTTAATTCTTCCAATCCATGAACAAGGTACATGCTTCCACTATTTTTTGTTTGTTTGTTTGTTTGTGGAGAAATAAAGGGAAAAGAGAGAAGTTGTGTATGAAGGGAGAGGTAGAGAGAGGAAGTGGAGAGATGCTGGCAGAAAGGAAGGGGACATGAAGGATTTGTAGGAGAGAGGTAGAGGGAGAGGAGGTGAGGAGGAGGAAGAAGAGGAAGAGGAGGAGGAAGCAAAGGTTTGGAAGAGGAGGAGAGAGGGGAGGGGAGAGAGAAGGGTTTCCACTTATTTATATCTTCCTCTATTTCTTTTTTCAACGTCCTGTAGTTTTCTGAGAACAGGTTCTTTACTTTTTTGGTTAAGTTTATTCCTAGGTACCTTAATTTTTCTGCTGCAATGGCAAATGCGATTTTTTTTTTTTTTTTTTTTTAGTTTCTCTCTCTGTGAGTTCATTATTGATGTGTAAGAGTGCTGTCGATTTCTTGATGCTAATTTTGTATCCTGTTACTTTGCCAAATTCATTTATTAGCTCTAGTAGATTTTTGATGGAGTCTTTAGGGTTTTCTATGTATAATATCATGTCATCTGCAAACAATGACATTTTCACTTCCTTCTTTCCAATTCTGACCCATTTTATTTTCCCTTTTGTCTAATTGCTGTGTTTAATACTTCCAGCACTGTTAAATAAGAGTGGCAAAATGGGCATCCCTGACTTGTTCTGTTCTTAAGGAAAATGTTTTCAGTTTTTGCTTATTGAGTATGATGTTGGCTGTAGTTTTTCATATATGGACTTTATTATGTCAAGATATGGTCTCTCTATTCCTACATTGCTGAATGTTTTCATTAGACATGGGTGCTGGATTTTGTCGAATGCTTTTCTAGTACCTATTGATATGATCATATGGTTTTTATCTTTTATTTCGTTTATGTGGTGTATCACATTTATTATTTTGCAAATATTGTACCAGCCTTGCATCCCTGGGGTGAATACTACTTGGCCATGGTGAATAACTTTTTTGATGTATTGCTGGATCCAATTTGCTAATATTTTGTTAAGGATTTTGGCATCTGTGTTCATCAGGGATATTGGCCTGTAGTTTTCTTTCTTTGTAGTGTCTTTATCTGGTTTTGAAATTAAAATTATACTGGTCTCATAAAATGAGTTTGGAAGTCTTCCTTCTTCTTCAATTTTTTGGAATAGTTTGAGGAGGATGGGTGTTAGATCCTCTTTGAATGTTTGGTAAAACTCCCCTGTGAAGCCTGGGCTTTTGTTTGCTGGGAGTTTCTTGATGACATCTTCAATTTCCTTCGTTGTTATTGTTCTAGCCAAGTTTTCTATCTCTTCCCAGTTCAGTTTTGGGAGACTGTGTGTTTCTGGAAATTTGTCCATTTCGCCTGGCTTATCTAATTTCTTGGCGTATACTTGTTCATAGTATTTTTTAATGATCTTTTGTATTTCTGTGATGTTAGTTGTTACGTCTCCTCTTTTGTTTGTGATTTTGTTTATTTAGGTCCTTTCTTTTTGTTCCTTGGTGAGTCTGGCTAAGAGTTCATCAATCTTATTTATCTTTTCAAAGAACAAGCTCTTTGTGTCATCAATCTTTTGAATTTTTTTTTTTTTTTTTTTTTAGTTTCTGTGTCATTTATCTGCTCTGACCTTTATTATTTCTTTCCTTCTACTTGCTCTGGATTTTTTTTTTTTTTTTTTTTGCTTAGTTTCTAGATCTTTAAATTGTAGGGTTAGAAAGTCAATGAGAATTTTTTCTTGTTTCTGGAGGTATGCCTGTAGTGCTATGGACTTCTCTTTCATGACTGCTTTTGCTGCATCCCATAAATTTTGTGTTTTTGTGTGTTTATTTTCATTGGTTTCCAGGAAGGTTTTGTTTTGGTTTTTTTAATTGCCACAGAAAATGGTTTATTGCTTTTACAACAAAATAAAATGCTCTCAGAACTTTGTTTAATGAAGAAAACACTATTAGAACTTTTCTAAACACTATTTTGTCAACTGATGAAGTAGGTACTTCAATATATAAAACTTTCCAGAGGCAAGTGCCTGAGCTGGATAGCACAACTCACAACTGTATGGACCCCAAGCTGTCCCATTCGATGCAGCTAACTGCTTAGAAGTAGGGTTTGCGCTTGCGGCTGGTATACTGCGTGTCAGGTCTGACTTCCTTGCCCTGACGTCTATGGCGCTCCTTCTCCAGCACCCACTCACGGGTTTTCCTCACCACCCCACTCCTCACAATCCTATAGGGAATCCTCTTATTCGTGAATGTGGATTCTCTGGCCTCCTCTTCATCCTTAATTTCGTTCAGGCCCTTTGGCAGAAAGGTTGATGGTCCAGAAAACAAACAGAGGTAGAGTCCACCACCACACCACCAGTGAAGCCAGCCTTGATGGCCTGGGTTGTAATCAGCTCCAGCAGCTCCGAGTTCTCAGGATACAGCTGCAGAACAGCTCAGGCTCCACGAACCAGCACAGAATAAAGAGAAGAAAAAATGCAGTACAGGCACTTGGCAGGAATGTCAGACTTCTTGTTAGCATTACAAAGCCACTGCACAGCAGAAATGCTGATACAACCATCAAAGGATCCCGGTTTGAAGGGGATGCCTTGGCCCAGATCCCCCAGAAGTAGGTCTCCTTGTGCTTCTCGGTCCAAGGCTGCATCCAGCATGTCAGGGCTGATGTCGATGCCCACCCAATAGTGCCCCTCATCAGAGAGATAATCTCCACTCAGCCCAGTACTGCAGCCAACATCCAACAGGTAACAGGGCTTATCCTCAGGCAGATCAAGAGCTCCAATGCTCGCCCTGCCATCTTGGTCTGGACATCAATCATCCTAGAGTTGCACATGTATTTCCGGGCTTCATTCTTGTCATAAAACAGCTCTGGGGATCCGCCGTGCTACAGTCTACATTCGTGACACACCATAGCCTCGCCTCAGCTGCACTAGTCTCCAGGAAGGTATTTATTTCTTCCTCGATCTCCTTGGTAACCCATTTGTTATATAATAACATACTATTTAGCCTCCATGTGTTTGAATGGTTTTGTGTGTTTTTGCTGCAATTTATTTGTAGTTTCATGCCATTGTGATCTCAGAAGATGCTTGTGATTTCAATCTTCTCGAACTTGTGGAGACTTAGTTTGTGTCCTAACATGTGATCTATCTTTAAGAATGTCCCATGGGCACTAGAGAAGAATGTGAATTCTGCAGTTTTGGGGTGTAATTCTCTGTAGATATCTATTAAATCCATTGGATCTAGTGCATCATTTAGAATCTGTTTTTTTTTTGTTAATTTTTTTGTCTAGAGGATCTATCCAGTGATGTCAGTGGGGTGTTGAGGTTCCCTACTGTGATTGTATTTCTGTTGGTTTCTCTTTGAAGTCCTCCAGAAGTTTTAAAATGTATTTTGGTTTTCCTATGTTAGGTGCATATATGTTTATCAAGGTTACACTCTCCTGTTGGACAGGTCCTTTCAATATTATGTAATGGCCTTCTTTGTCTCTTCAGTTAGAAACCTATTGGCCTTCATTTAGAAATCTATTTTATTGGATATGAGTATTATCACCCAGCTTTTTTTTCCGTTTGGTTTACTTGGAAAAAAATTTTTTCATCTCTTCACTTTCAACCTATGTGAGACTTTTGTTGTGAGGTTGGTCTCTTGTAAACAATATATATATGAGTCATGCTTATTTTTTCAGCTACTCTGTGTCTTTTGATCAGAGTGTTAAATCTGTTTATGTTTAAGGTTATTACTGACATGTACTTATTTATTGCCATTTTTATTTATTATGGTTATTTTTCTCTTATTTCTTCTACTTATTGCAGCAGACCTTTTAACATTTCTTGGAGTGCTGTTTGGTGCTAATATATTCCATTAGTATTTTTTTTTTTGTCTGGGAAGCTCTTTATTTCACCTTCTACTTTGAATAGACTTGCTGGATAGAGTAGTATTGGGTTCAGATCCTTGTTTTTCATTACCTTGCTTAATTCATGCCATTCCCTTTTGGCCTGTAGTGTTTCTATTGAAAATTCAATGAATAGCCTTATGGGGTTCCTTTGTAGGTAACCTATTGCTTATCTCTCTCTCTCTCTTTTTTTTTTTTGGTATGTGCCCCTAGCAGGAACCGAACCCGGTCTGTAGGCTGATGCTCTAACTGCTGAGCCATACCAGCCAGGGCCTTTTGCTTATCTCTTGCTGCCTTTAGGATTCTCTCTTTGTCTTTAATTTTTGGCATTCTATTTATTATGTGTCTTGATGTGGGCCTGTTTGGGTTCTTTTTACATGGGGCTCTCTGTGCTTCTTAGACTTGTATGCCTTTTTCCTTCAACAAGCTAGGGAAGTTTTCTGTCACTATTTCTTCAAATATATTTTCTCACCCTTGAACATTTACTTCTTCTTCTGGCACACCTATGATGAGGATGTTGTTACATATCATATTGTCTCACAATTATCTTAGGCTGTCTTCCTGTTTTTTAATTGTTTCTGGTTTTCTGATTGGATGATTTTTTTCTACCCTGTTTTCTAATTCACTTCTCCGATACTTGGCTTCCTTTACTCTGCTGGTTATTCTTTCCAATGTGTTCTTTATTTCTGCTATATAATTCTTTATTTCCATTTGGTTGGTTTTCAATGTATCTATATCTTCACTCATGCTGTTGAGCTCTTTACTTATTCTGTTGAACTTCCTCATGATTATTACTCTGAACTCTCCCTCTGATATCTTGCTTAATTCTGTGTCATTTATTTCTTCTGCAAAATTATCTTGTTCTTTCATTTGGGATTTGTTTCTTTGTTTCACCATTTTGGCTATCTCAGTGGGTGTTGGAGCCTGCCAAATTTTCCCTTTGGGTGTTGGTGTTCTGCTGGTTGTGATTACCTCTACTGGGTTTGGATGAGTTTGGGAGGACCCACATTAAACGTCACTATAAGTTGTACTTTCATGGGTAGATTTGTAAGCCAAGGAAAGGTTCAGTTTTCCTCTAGCTTTTTGCCTGGAGCCTATTAGTCTCAGTTACTTGATGAGTCTTGATTAATAACCCTGTAGCAGGCTTTATTTGGCATCTTCTCTTTCTCTGGTTGTACTGGCTCTCTTTCAGCTGCTCTTCAGTTGGATTTTCCTGATGTTTTGTCTTTATTTTATTTTATCTTTTTAAAATATATTTTTTTTCTTTATTGACTTTAAAGAGAGAGGAATGGAGAGGGAGAGACAGAAACATTGATGAGAGAGAACATTGATGGCCACCTCCTGCATGCCCCCATTGGGGACTAGGCCCACAACTTGGGCATGAGCCCTGACCCAGAATAGAACCAGTGACCTTTGGTGTATGGGTCTATGCTCAACCACTGAGCCACAATGACTGGGCCCTTGTTTTTATTTTAGTTGTAATTCCAGTTTGGTCCTGGAAATTGGTCTGTGTAGCTTCCATTCACTCTGCCACCATCTCAGGAGTTCTAGGCATATCTTTAAAAGACCTTCTGAGAAGGACATTGTAAAATAACCTTTTGTATTTCACAGGAGTACTGGCAGGTCTCCTTCTCTGACAAAACGTGGATCAGTCCTCCTCTCACTCTCCCTAACTTCCAAACAGCATTTCTCAAAGTGTTTTTCATGGAACCCTAGTACTTGTTCTATATACAACAAGTATCTGTGTCCAAATAGGTTGGAAAACTCTTGATTAAGTTAAGTTTTGCAAATGTTTTTATTGCAGGATTTCTCAGAGCCTTTGTAGGGCTAAAATGCACACCCTCAAAGGTGATATATTCAACTTCTTTGGCCAGAAAAGCTCAATATTCTTCTGAGAAACATGTAGAGGAACAGGTTCTATAGAACACACTTTGGAAAGAATACCTTCCCCTAGGTCCTCCTCTCTTCTTTCTCTTCCCGATAGCTCCCACATTGTATAATTTCTAGTTCTTGATCCGATCCACTGTCTTCTGGAAAGTTCCTTCAAGTCTCATAGATGATTCCTGTCTTTACTTATCATGTTTCTCTCAAGAGAGTGTGTCTCTCAAATATATTCTCTTTGTTAATAGTGATATCCCAATTAACAACAGAGTGATGCTTGCTTGCATTTACAAAAAGGTAAGTTTAGTAGAAATGAAAGAAGAGCTTAAAGTATATTGCAGAAAATGGCAAATTTTAAAACACCCTTTTTCATGGTAGAAACAAACTGAAAACTTAAATAGCTTTAAATGTTTTTATAAACAGATGTAATGATAGATTATATAGGAAAAATAGGATATTCTTAGTATATTTCTAAATTTTAAGTTGTCATGTGGAGGCCAACTTTGCTGTTGATGAAGCCATCCTTGGGTATCAAACACAGAAAGATGGATAATCAGTTGTTCAGTATCTCCCATCTCCCATTTACAATGTCTTTTAACCTTGAGGTCTGGTGGGAAGCACTCTTGGTCCTCCGGGATCTTCCCTCTTCATCAGCTGCTCAGAGAAGATCACAGGTGCATAACCTTTGAAAATTGTGTGAGTCAGAAGAAAAGGTGCTATTTTTATTATCATTATTATCAGAGAAGCAGAAGAACAGGACCTGAAATGACCTTGACAATGTGTCCAGCTTTAATTCTTGTCTTCCAACAGGACTTGGCAAAGTGGTGATGATCTGGTTTCTAATTTCTCTCTAGAAGTATGTTGTTTTGAATGCCCCTTAGCAGCTGCTGCAGTATTTCACAGGCAGCATCTTCCTACCCTCAGAAGTACTTCTAAATGCTGGCATCTCTATTGCCCCTGATGAAATGCCTTTATTAGGAAAGATTTAGGAGAATGGATGTATGATCAACCTTCATAGTCCCATCTGTTCTGTGAGAGGGAACAGAGACCCTCACTTACAAAACCATACGACACAGGACTGAACAGCTACAGATCTGATTTTCTGGTAATGATTCATGTCAGAAGAAACGCAAATGGTGGTGAAGTGAGAGAAAGTACTTTGAAAGAGAAAGCAAAACTTGAATATATAATCATATGGATGCCTTTCTCTAAAATGTAGAGAGAAGAAGGGACCTTTTAATGTGTCCAGTGGACCGTGGCACTCAGAGCTCTCCCTCCTGGTCTGCCGGTTTGCTTGTCCAATTTCACCTCCTGCCACCTCCTCTCCAGTAAGATAAACAGAACCCACACCTTCTCTAACTCCTCTGAGACATTGAACACACTTTTGCCTTGACCTGGGACACCCCTCTAGTCTTGTCACCCAGCTACCACCTCCCTACCCTTCAGAGCTTTGGTGTCACTGTTCCCATGAAGCCTCTACCTGGAGAGGCAGGTGTCCCTTCCTGCTCCTGGGCCTCACCTACAATCTCTATCACAGGCCTTGCCATGTTACTTTATGAATGCATAGTTATTTTCCTTCTAACTAGGAGACTGTAGGTTTCTTGAAAACAATGCGTCAGCATCTTGATCCTAAAATGTGGGAGGCAGCCCATGAGCGTCTGGTGAATTTATATATTCTGTCAAGAATCCTATTTCATTCAGATTATTCAGACCTAAAGACAGCGAGCTCTAAAGAGTGCCTTTAGAAAGAAATGCATTCAGAAAAGAGCATGACAGCAGCCTTTGCCGCAAAATATGACAATTTGCTGTATTGTAACGTTCGTGTTGCAATGATGTTCACAAATTAACAGCATCTGTAAAAGAACAAGTTCAAACCTGCTCAAATATCACCTCTTCCTGGGTACATGCTTAAAGTGATCTCACTTGATTATTACTTGATGTTAGTTTTAGTCAATATTTTATGGATGAGACTGACGCGGAGCTACTTGGCATCTATGTATATACGGCCTGTTTTATCTTCTTAGACTCTTCCCTGGAAGCTCCGTGATTGGATTGCATATGTAGTTGTAAACAGCTTAATGACATGAATTCTTTCATGGCAGACATGGTTTATT